AAGAACAAAAGGACAGCAACTTGTCTGTTCCCCTTCCCCGATTCCCCAACGCTGTTCCCCTCCCCCAATTCCCCAATAAAATCTTTTTTAAAAAATGCATGCTGGAGTGTACAGTGTAATAACTGAAGAATAATGAAGAGTTTATGACTAATACAGCTAAAAGAAGAAGAGAAATGATGGCCAAGAAATAATCTATCAAAAGAAGGCAAGAAAAAAGAAAAAGGAAATAGAACAGGAAAACAGAACAAGGAATAAAAAGCAAATGGAAAATGAGAAACCTAATTCCAAGCACATCAATACGTAAACTAAATGCAAGCTGACCAAGCACTCAAAAGACAGACTTTCGACAAAAACAGCAACATCACTAAAAAAAACCTAACTACACATAATGGGCTCATCTTAAGGCTAAGATATAGGAAAAGTTAAAGTTAAAAATGGAAAAATATATAACATGCAAACTCTAACCACAAAAGCCTACATGTTACTATCAGAGGAAGTACACTTTAAGACAGGAATGCATGACATAAAATGACACAGTATATAATGATAAAAGGTACACTTCACCAGAAAAATATAACAATTCTGTATTTCTATGCACCTAATACATAACCCCAAAATACACAAAGCAAAAGCTGACAAACCAAAGGAGGAAAATATAAATCTATAATCATAGTGATTTTCATAACCATCTCACAGTAAATAACAGACCAAAAATCATGAAAAATAAAGAAATTTAAATGATTAACAAACTTAACCTAATTAAGATATATAGTATATACATGTGTGTATGTATGTGCATATACACATATATGCATATATGCCTGTATATGTGTGTATACGTACGTGTGTGTGTGTGTGTGTGTGTGTGTGTATAAAGAGTTGACTTGTGTGCCCAAAAACATGTTGGAAGTCCTAACCCCTAGTACTTCAGATTGTGACCTTATTTGGAAACAGACTCACTGCAAATGTAATTATTTAAGATGAGGTCGATGGAGTAGGGTGGACCCTTAACCTAATATGATTGGTATCCTTACAAGAATAAAAAACCACAGAGAGAAGTATGCTATGTAAAGACAGACACACATTGCGAGAAGATGACCATGTTACAAGAGAGGCAGAGATCAGAATAATGCATCTACAAACCAACAAATGCAATGACTGCTGGCAAATACCAGAAGCTATGAGAGGCAAGGAAATTCTCCCCTACCAGCTTTAGAAAGGACAAGGCCCTGCCAACACCTTAATTTCTGACTTCTAGTAGAACTATTGGAGAATAAATTTCTGTTGCTTAAGTCATCCAGATTGTGGTACTTTGCTACAGCAACCCTAGCAAATTAATACATTGAAGCTAACAACTGCATACAAATTCTGAAGCAGGCATGGAATATTTACTTTATTGGTCATTAAAAAATGAAAAACAAAGGACTGAAATGATACATACTTTCTGATCACAGCAAAATAAAAACCAAAAATACCACTACAAAAATCTCCATAGGTTTAGAAATTTATACTCATGTTCAAGAAGAAATCAAAATGAAAAGTATTTTGAAATAAATAAAATACATCAAAACACATGTGATGCAGCTATAACCTTATGCCAGAAAGACTGAAAACTCTAAGATCGCTTCTTAAATGATATTCCACAGTCAAAAAATACATAACATCAGTTTATACAAACTCTTCCACAGAATAAAAGAGAAAAAACTTCCCAACTGTTTTTCATGAGGAAAAGTAAGTGCCAATCTCACTAATGTGCAGATATAAAAATACTAAAAAAAAACATCAAAAATCAAATTTAGCAATACATAAAAAAAGATCATATACCATGACC